ATGATTGAAAGGGGCTTGGTGAGCACTTCTGCCAGCTCCCTCAGTACTCTTGGATGGATCCCATCTGGCCCCATAGACTTATGTGTGTCTAAGTGGCACAGCAGGTCACTGAGCATTTCCCCTTAGATTAAAGAGGCTTCATTCTGCTTCCTGCCTCTGTCCTCCAGCTCAGGGGGCTGGGTACCCCAAGAACAACTGATCTTACTCCTAAAGACTGAGGCAAAGAAGGCATTAAATATCTCAGCCTTTTCCTCATCCTTTGTCACTGTGTTTCCTCATTCATCCAATAAAGGATGGAGATTCTCCTTAGCCCTCCTTTTCTTGTGAATGTATTTATAGAAACAATTTTTAATTGTCTGTTACTGTAGTGGTTCAATTAGGTTATTGTTGGACTTTCTCCCTGCATAACCTAATGACATCTTTGTAGTCCTCCTGAGTTGCCTGTCCCTTCTTCCACAAAGGTCATAAACTCTCTTCCCTCCCTCCTGTGTTCCAATCAAAGCTCTATGTTCAACCAGACCAGTCTTCTTCCCTGCAAGCTCATCTTTTGGCACATGACAGCCTGCTCCCGTGCCTTTAGGATTTCCTGCTTGAGGAATGTCCAGCCTTCCTGGACTTGATTGCCCTTCAGGACTGCCTCCCAAAGGATTCTGTCAACCAGGCCCCTAAAAAGGCCAAAGTCTGCCCTCCAAAAGTCCAAGGTAGCAGTTCTGCTGACCCCCCTCCTTACTTCCTGGAGAATTGAAAACTTTATTATTTCATGATCACTATGCCCAAGACAGCCTCTGACCATCACATCACCCACCAGTCCTTCTCTGTTTGCAAACAACAGTTCCAGTGGGGCTACTTCCTCAGTTACCAGCTGTCATAGAGTTATCTTCCACACATTCCAGGAGCCTCCAAGACTGTTTCCTCTCTGCTGTATTGTATTTCCATCAGACATCTGGTAGGTTGAAGTCCCCGATGAGAACAAGGGGTAGTGATTGTGAGACTCCTCCCAGCTGCTTATAGAATATTTCTGTCACCAGTAGGCCTGATATTATGTGGACCAACCTGTGATCAAAAAAACCCAAATTCTGCTGGTGACACCAGACATGGAGCCAGGTATTGATCAGCTGACTCTTTCTGTTTCTTCCCACATAATTTCCTGTAACTGGAAGGATAGACGAAAAAAATACTTGTGCTCCTCATCCCTCAATCAGTTGTCTGAGAGCCATGAACTTTTTTGATTGCCCTTGGACTTCTTATTGAAACTTTGTCATTGCTGTTATGATGAAATTTTCTTTGCCAACTCTTGATTTTTGTGTCAAAGTCATTAATGAACATATAAATGAAATGGCTGTTGGAAAACTCCATTAGCAATGTTCTTTCTTCTGATACTTTCTCCTTCAACACTCCCTGATGTATTTGAGTTCCTGGGCTTCTCAATCTCCTGACTCTGCTTAAGGTCTTAGTTTATAAAACTTATTTTTGTTATAGATCTACCTCAAACTACCTTTTCATTTAATTTGCATGAATTGAACTTATCGGCCCTGAATCCAAAACTATTGCCTATGATCAGGTCTTCTATAATGTCTTCATGACTTACCAAAGCCAAGTCTAAAATAGCACCATTTCCTGCCATGTTAGTGAATCTCTGGAGGATATTTTTATTGCCTAGAAATACAAGAATATCTCAGACTTACCAATTATACTCTCCAACCTGATTCCTGATGTTAAATTATCCAAAACAACTGCAGTAGTAACTACCTCTCTAATAACATTACAGAACTCTTTTGACAGTGAAAAAGGATCCTGGTGGTATATGGCATGATGGAAGTGATAATCTTTTAATAAACTGTGAGTTGTGCTGTCATTAACACACACTGCTGCTCCCTGCCTTTTCCTGAAAAGCAGTCACTGGTTTTAGAGTGCTCATCACTGTGATTGCAGGACAGATCTACTGTCCCAATGTACTCGCTCATATCCTGTATCAATAGCTCCTGACAGGACTTAGAGAATGCAATGAATTGTCTCAAAACACTGTCAAAGAAGGAAATTCCCAGAAGATACCACAACAGGAACTTGTGATAAGCACAGACTGGCAACAACAGGAACCAGGCCTGGTAAAGCAAATCTAAACAAAGTTCCCACCTTAGAAACTGTGAGAAAGGAAAGCGTTAATTACAGACCTAAACAAAGGTGAAAGTTTTGAAATTAGCACACCAACAAAACTCCCACCATGGCAAGCTGTGAGAAAGGAAGCAAGTCCTTATACATATGCCAGCCCAAGTTGTGGGAATGCATCTACCCCTGTGAATACCGGGGGTGTGGACTGTGTAAAAGTGGTACCCTAGAAGCATGACTTCAGGACCCTCACCACCAAGAAGACCAGAAGAAGGACCTGGCGGGACACTGTTGGAATCCATGAGGTGGTGATATCTTTATCTATTTACTTAATCTCTGTCTCTCTCTCACTCTCTTTCTCCCCCCCTTCTTCTCTCTCTCTACACCTCATATTTACTGTTAAATAAAACCGTACTATTGACTTTGGCATATAGTCTTGTTTGCACTTTAGTTCAGGCAGAGGCATCTTTTAATAATTGGATCCTAACATCTCAAGGTCCTCCACTTTGCTGCATAATTGTCCTAGTTAGAACAGCTGGGACCAGTTCATCACTGTGTGGGTGTAACCCAAACTGTGTATTCTACACCCTCCATGTCATTTCCCAGAAACTGTTAACAATAAACCATTTGCAGCAGCTGCCCAGAGCACACCTGACCCCTCAGGCTATAAGCTGGGCGTTAAGAGGCCTGTGAGATAGGAGGATGTTCCTGTCCTCACACCCACGACTCACAGTCACCCATTGTGGAACTCCCCGCCCTGGGGGAGGTACTGGGCATTCCTGCCTGAACCTGAGGCTACATAATCTTGGGGTCTTGGACTTCTGGTACCACTCGTGGGATCCAGAGGAGGACCAGAACCTCAACCGGACTGTGACCATCACTCTCAACCAGACTGTGACCACCACTCTTGACCGGACTGCGACCATCACTCTCGACCGGACTGCGATCACCACTCTCGACCGGACTGCGACCATCACTCACACCAACAGGTTTTTCCTCTCCTTTTACTTTTGGACTCAGGGGACCACGTGGGGTTCAGCACAGGGGCCAACGAACACCATTCTGTTCATGCCCCAGGGTGCCGGGTTATACATCTGGGATTTTGTGGGCTAAAACCAATTGTTCGTCTGTATAACTGTATTTATTGTATTATTTTTATTAAATTGCAATTCTGATTTATAATCTCTTTTGGGTTGGGTTCATTTCTCCTGCCGGTTTACCTTTAAACCAGCACAATAATCTTGCTACATTTGCATATTCACCTTTCTTTACTTCTCCTCCCTAGTCACTCTTCCAGCAAGATCTTGCTTATTCAACCACTTTCTTTGCTGTCCATGGGTCTACTCTGTGACATTTCTTTCTGCACTGCCATGACCGGATTTGTCTGATTATTTAATTTACCACATACTCAGGCAGAGCCTTGGACTTTACAAGCCAACACCAGTGTTTGCAGTAGTACTGCAGGTCCTTAGGTAAAATGTATCAGAGGACATCTCTTCATAATCATACACCAATGCCCAAACTTTCCCAAATCTTCAAACCTTATCTGTTTGCTGACCTTCCCTGTCATTCATTTGGTAGGGGCCAGAGCTATTCTACATAACATCTGGGAACCCACTTCTTTCAGAGCCTTACCCAGCATGGCATAGAATCATAGAATGGTTTGGGTTGGAAGGGACCTTTAAAGGTCATCTAGTCCAACTCCCCTGAAATGAGCAGGGACATCTTCGAGTAGACCAGGTTGCTCAGAGCCCTGTCCAATCTGACCTTGAATGTTTCAAGGGATGGGGCATCTACAACCTCTCTGGGCAACCTGTTCCAGTGGTTCACCACCCTCATCTTAAAAAAAAATTGTCCTTATATCTAGTCTGAATCTACCCTCTTCTAGTGTAAAACCATTATCCCTTGTTCTGTTGCTAAAGGCCCTATTAAAAACTCTGTCCACATCTTTCTTATAAGTCCCCTTTAAGTATTGAAAGACTGCAATAAGGTCTCCCCAGAGCCTTTTGTTCTCTAGGCTAAACAACCCCAACTCTCTCAGCCTTTCTTCATGGGAGAGGTGTTCCATCCCTGTGACCATTTTTGTGGCACTCTTCTGGACCTGCTCCAACAGGTCAACCTCAACCAGCTCCAGCAGCATCCTGTCAATGTCATTTGTTCTGATGAGAAGCACAACCAGGGGACTGCTTCCTGCTCCTATATGAATTTTTCCAGACTTAGATTCCCATTTTTTTGTCCATGCTCTGAGCAAAATGTACACTATTCCTTTGATCCATCTCTTGTCAGGTCCTTGAGTCTGTGTGGCACAATAGTGGCTCAGATTTTGGAGGCAGGGCAGTCATGTGTGGATTGCTGTCCTCTTGTAAGCATTCCCCTGCGAGGAAGCAGAATATTGTGCTAATATGATGATTCTGCTTCCAGAACTTCAAAAATATTGCTCAGAAATAGCATGAGTATTTCTATGTGAACCTTTACAAACCCTCCAGCTTACAGTAACACTGCTCTATCTTTTCCTGGTAGTGCAAGTCTCTGACCCTTTCCCTTTTGTTTGCAGTTATCCTGTCTTCTCTGTTTTTTACAGTCCCTCTATATTATCTTCATTCTTTTCCTATCCAATGCTCGATCTCAGCTTGATAAAAATCTGTAGGTTTAAAGAGCTGTCTTCCTTTCAAGGCATAGTTTCCTTCCTTTACCGCAGCCCAAGATAAAGTGTCCTTGCACATTCGTGGGTCAGTTCCCTGAGCAAAAGAATCACACTGATAAACTGCTCTGGAGTTGTCTGAGCTGAGCTGGCATGCTCAGCCACATACATGAAGATCTGCATATGATCCCACAAGCATCTCACCATATTTCAGACCTTGGATTCAGCCTTTTCACTCTCCATCAACACTCACCTAATTTCACTTGAAGTAGGGACGGCTTATAGTTCATGGCTACAGTCTCTCCCTCTCTTGTACCACAATCTCTGTCCAAAAGAGATGCAGATGTTGAATCCTGTTAAGAAAGAAAATGAAACAAAACAGAATGGTTTAGCTAAAAGTTCTGCAGTCTCTTCTCTATGTTAGGTGAGTCCATTCCTATCTGCATTCAGAGGGAACAGACAACACGCCAGTGTTTTGAATGTCCAAAACTTAGGGGCAAAACACAGAACTTTGGAAGCATGTTTAGTATGCTAACAGTACCTCTGGAAACATCAAATTTAAACATCTGACTTATATGATGGATGATTCTGGGAATATAATATGGAGGATGGGTCACCAGTTGAAATTCCTTCTGCTCTGGCTGTAGTCCAAAACAATTTTCATGTGATGACTCTTCGAGGTGTTGTATGAAATGCATTTACAGTTTCAGCTGAGTTCCAAGTGGACTGGTCAACCTCATGATTAAAACTAAAAAGCTCATGACCAGCTGTGTGAAAGTCCAGCTCAGAAGAAATGAGGACTGAATGAGTAGGAGAATTCAATCTCCAGTCCCTCTTGGAGAGGAGTGAAGAAGTCTGTACTTCCCAACATGGACCTAGTTGTTTTTGGCAAACTGGAAAGATTTAATTTCAGTATCTGTTAGCACAGCACTTTTCACTGTCACTGAAATCCCCCTGAAAACCAAAGCTCCTCAAACATAAAGTTCACCCCATTATGCCTACTTGCAGACAAGCTAATCTAGGTACTCGATGGTACAGCACATCTGAGTATTCAGATAGACAAAGTACCAATTCAGGCAGCTCTAGCACTGATGAAAAAATGATTGTTGAGCAGTCTTGGAAATCTGGAGAGGTCCCAGCTGACTGGAAGCTGGCAAAAGTTGTCCCAAATGTCAAGAAGGGCAAGAAGGAGGACCCCGGAAACTACAGGCCTGTCAGTCTCGCTTCAGCGCCTCTTAAAGTAATGGAGAAGATTATTCTGATAGGTATTGAAAAACACCTGGAGGACAACACAGTCATCAGTCACAGCCAGTACGGTTTCATGAGAGGAAAGTTCTGCTTGTCAAACCTGATCTTCTTCTACAACAGGGTAACCCACCTGGTTGATCAAGGGAAGTCAGTTGATGTAATCTTTTTGGATTTCAGTAAAGTTTTCCATACTTTCTCTCACAGGATCCTTCTGGACAAAATGTCCAGCACAAAGCTGTATAACCATGTTATGCAATGGGTGAGCAACTGGCTCACGGGTCAAGCACAGAGGGTAATAGTGAATGGGGTAACGTCAGGCTGGCAACCGGTCACTAGTGGGGTTCCACAGGGTTTCATCCTAGGCCCAGTGCTCTTCAACATCTTCATAAATGACTTGGATGCAGGACTCAAAGGAATGCTAAGTAAGTTTGCAGACGACACTAAACTGGGAGGAGCTGTTGACTCCCTCGAGGGCAGAGAAACCGTGCAGAGAGACCTTGACAAATTAGAGAGATGGGCAATCATCATATGAAGTTTAACAAGGGCAAGTGCCGGATTCTGCACCTGGGACAGGGCAACCCTCCTTGTATGTATTGAAATGAGAGAGGGTGTCCTTTCTAAATGACTTTGGAAATCAGAAATTTTAGCTTAGATAAAAATTGTGTCCTAATCAACTAAGAGATTTGCTTTCTTGGCATAGTAGTTGTCTTTTCTTTTAGGACTACAATTAGTTTCAGGATGTAGAATGTGGATGAAACATGGGAACTAATAGAGAGTGTACCGTATACCCACTTGCAAGAAATTAGCTTACATGCCTCAGAAAACTTGATCAATAAGATTGTTCTGTTAAGAATGAATTCAATTGAAGATTGTTTAAACTAATGGGAAATTCTAGTTATCTTTAAGCAATTATGAATATATGTGTCTTAGTTGGTCCTAGAACAATTAGTTTAGGGGTTAGACATCAACTGGATCAATCATAGATGCTAGGAGGCCTGCCGAGCGAAAAAAAACCTCTGCGAAGATGACTGCCCCCCATCCCTGAAGAAATGGATGCGAGATGGCAATCTCGGTCCATGAATGAACTCCAAGATGATATTTGACACCAAAATCATGACATAATCAGGGGCTGGGTGTGAAGAGGGGGTCTTTCAGGTATCGCTGTATTTATATTCCAAAATTTGTGCTGATTCTTTAATTCATGTATGGTGATTCTATCCTCATGAATTCCCAGCTGGCATATTAAAGAGATGTCCAATCCAATGATTTTTGGTCATTGGGTTTAATTCTTTTGTTTCAGTATAGACTGGGGAATGAGAGGATGGACAGCAGTGCTGCAGAAAAGGACCTTGGGGTCCTGGTCAGTGGCAAGTTGAATATGAGTCCGCAGTGCCCTGGCAGCCAGGAGGGCCAACCGTGTCCTGGGGAGCATCAGGCAAGGCATTGCCAGCCGGTCAAGGGAGGTGATTGTCCCTCTCTACTCTGCACTGGTGCAGCCTCACCTTGAATATTGTGTGCAGTTTTGGGTACCACAATATAAAAAAGATATTAAGCTATTAGAGAGCTGTATTGGCTTTCTGCCACCAGGTTTTGGTAGTAGGGGGGCTACAGGGGTGGTTTCTGTGAGAAGCTACTGGACACTTCCCCCACGTCTGGTAGACCCAATGCCAGCTTGCTTCAGGACAGACTTGCCACTGGCCAAGGCCAAGACAATCAGGAATGATAGTAACACCTCTGTGATAACATATTTAAGAAGGAGAAAAAAAATTGTTGCACAGATGAAAATTGCAGCCGGAGAAGAGCAGAGTGAGAACCTGTGAACAACTATTCAGACCAAGGTCAGTGGAGAAGGAGGGGGAGAAGGTGCTCCAGGTGCTGGAGATGAGGTTCCCCTGTAGCCCTCGGTGAAGACCATGGTGAAGCTGGCTGTCCCCTTGCAGTCCATGGAGGACCACAGGAGTGCAGACTTTCACCTGCAGCCCATGGAGAAGACCCATGCTAGAGCAGGAAGCCCGAAGGAGGCTGTGACCTTGTGGGAGGCCCATGATGGAGCTGGGTCCTGGCAGGGGCCAGCTGACCTGTGGGGAGCCAACACTGGAGCAGGTTTTCCTGGTAGGACTAGTGGCCCTGTGGGGTTACAGTTTTTGCCTTATCAGGAATACTTCCATGTTTGTTTTGGTTATAAAAGGCTGCATCCTTTGAATAAAATTGTCTCAGTTTCTCTCCCCCCTGAGTCCATGCCTTCAATACACCATACCAGGGATGGACTTGTCTCCTTTTAAGATGAGTGTCTAAGACAAAATGGTACGAAACACTCTTTTAAAATCATCTTCTCTGTTGGTCTAGGAAGCCTTTTCTATTTGTTTGCTCTAGAGCCCAGCTTTGAGATTGCTCTAGCCGAGTCCTCTGGTCCAGGACCAGAGTCCAGATCCTCAAAGGCACCTCAGAACATTTCTCACCTCCTGCTGTTCATACACATGGATGTCTAATGTCACTGACAGGTTACCCACAAGAAGAAGTTACAGTCAGCACATCAGCTTCCAAGAAAAGTAGGGTCTGGTTTTGATTTAAAGAGTTTAAGTATAATTTTAACACTTTGAGCCTGAACTAGTCCAGGTGGTCAGGCCCTTTCCCTACCATGTGAACTGCTTGCTGTGTGTTCCTTCCACATGGGAGCTCATGTGTTCAAGTGCCAGACTGCACCAGCACAGGAGGCAATACCTAGCCATTACACCATATCCTTTTCCATAACATGTCTACTCCCATGCCTTCCTACAGCCAGCAGATTGGGGCTCCAAGGACTTAGTTGTGTTCAGTACTACTAGGAAGCATATAGCTCTTGGAGTCATGCTCTTGAAAGACAACTGTATCCTTTCTTTTCCCAGACTGTCAGAGAAAAAATTCTCATCTGGGAAGCCTGGACATGGATGGTGGCCTGCTACTTAACACCTTATAGATCCAGTATATATATATATTCATGTTCAATTTAGTTTCTAGTTTCTAGGAGGGAAGAAGTGAAGGTGTTTGAAAACCAGTTTTAATTTTCACTATGGAGCTAAATAGAGACAGTTCCAACAGGTTTGAAGTTTGCCATGAAAGGACCTTAAATATCATAGAATCATAGAATAGAATCATAGAATATGCTGAGTTGGAAGGGACCCATTAGGATCATTGAGTCCAACTCCTGGCCCTGTACAGGACACCTCAAGAATCACATCATGTGCCTTAGAGCATTGTCCAAATGCTTCTTGAACTCAGACAGGCTTGGTGCTGTGACCACTTCTTTGGGGAGCCTGTTCCAGTGCCCAGCCACCCTCTGGGTGAAGAACATTTTCTTGATATTCAATCTAAACCTCCCTTGACACAACTTAATACTGTTTCCTTGAGTCCTGTCACTGGTCACAAGAGTGAAGAGATAGGTACCTGCCCCTCTGCTTTCCCTTGTGAGGATGTTGAAGACCACAAAGAGATTTACCCTCAGTCTCCTCTTCTAGGCTAAACAAACCAAGTGACCTCAGCCACTCCTCATAAGGCTTTCCCTCTAGACCCTTCACCATCTTCATGGCACTCCTTTGGATGCCAGGTACCCACTAAAGCCACTCTCTCACTCCCCTCTGCAACTGGATAGGGGAGAGAAAATATAACAAAGGGTTCATGAGTTGAGATGAGGACCGGGAGAGATCACTTATTGAACACCCATATTGCAGCAATTTGGGAAGAACTGTTGCCTGTGGGATGGACTCACGCTGGAGAAGTTTGTGCAGGACTGTGTCCCATGGGAGGGACCCCACAGGGAGCAGGGGAAGGACTCCTCTCTCTGAGCAGTGGCAGAAACAACAACTGACCGTAACCCTCATTCCCCATCCCCCTGCACCACTGGGGGGGGGGGAGGAGGGAGAACATGGAAGGAAGGAGGGGTGGGGGGAAGGTGTTTTTAAGACTGTTTTATTTCTCACTCTTTGACTCTTATCCTGTTAGTAATAAATCTAAGTACTATCCCCACTTTGAGTCTGTTTTGCCTGCAAAGGTAATCAGTAATTGACCTCTCCCAGCTCTTATCTCAACTCATGAATCCTTAGCTGGTTCTTTTTTTTTCTCTCCTCTG